CCGTTTTATTAATGAGTTTAAGTAGTATTTATTAAAATAAAAAGTAAATACGACTACATATATATTTGAAGATGATAATTCATCAATCTACTTCAATGAACCCAGAATTATATATAGTTCAATTATACCCTTTGTTTTCAATTGTTCCGGCGCCTTCATCAAACTTTTCAATAACATTTGTTAATAATTCCTGTTTACATTGGTGTACCTTCCATGAATATTTTATTTACGGCATTAAATCGGTAGTTTATAAGATTAACCATCTCCAACGATCATTAACGAATGTCAAATTTAATCCTTCTTGCACAAGGGCAGCCTTTAGGGTGGCTAGTAGGGCAACCGCTCTTGCAGGCGCCTCGCGCACTCGCGCAAGAATCCAAGTGAGAAATATTAATGTAATGTTTATTTGAATTTCTAAATCTTAAAAAAGGGGCAAGCATCATTTCTGAATTCCTTACTCTTTTATGACATTAATGCACCTTAGTTTGTCTTAATTAATAATTAGTTATCTTGTTGTTTTTTTAATATTTGTTAATCTCCAATAAAAATATTTAAAATTCTAAATTCATGTATTATCTAATAACTTCAAATTTTTCGTTAAGTATCATCATTAAAACTAATTCCATAAAAACAAGAGTCCCGCCGGGAAACTCGCAATGGCTAAGGCCGCCCCTGTTCTTGCATGCGAACAAAATCGTACAGAAACTCAATACAACTCAAAAATAAATCCAAATCTAAGGAAGTATTTCTTAAAACAGAAAATTATTGTCTTAAACTATATTTTTTCCAAATAAGATTGTTAAAAGCGTTCGAAATGTGGTGTTACAGGCGAATGATGAGGATACCGTGGATAGAAAACGTTAGAAATGAAGATGAGAACAGAGAACTCTATGGAAGTCAATAAGAAATAGGTAAGATAGGTCGGTAGGACACCTTCTCAAGCATGAAGGTCTAGTCAGAGACATATTAGAAGCAGAAACGGGAGTTAGGAGGGGTAGAAGTAGACCTACATTAGAATACTGTTCACAAATAGTTAAAGATGTGGGATGTTCTAGTTTTAGAAAAATACGAAGATTAGCTCAGGATAGGAAAGAGTGGAAGTGCGTGTCCAACCTGTGCTAGGACCGACGACCTTATGATGATGATGCGATAATGGTTTCCCCAACATGGGTTTATCGATGACAAGGCAATTTGCCTAAGAAAAATTATACTCATTAACGCCAATTTTTTTTTATTGCATGATCGTTTCATTCCTACCCAAATTTAATGGTTGCGTCTTGTAATTTACCTGCACTGTTTTTATCATTTTGATAATAACGAGGATCAGAGGGCGAGTAAGCAAACTCAGACGTATCGTCGTTTCTCCAAGACGTATCTCTCTCGCGTGGGGGTGGTTCTTCGTCCTCTCTGCCGCTGTTTTCGTACTCGACCTCGACTGTGTCGTCAGGAAAACTCTCTTTAAATTCAGATGCTGTGTTATCTATACTATCACTGCTTTGACGTACATCATCCAAAATTCTCAAATTTGGTTTGAAGAATGGCGAAAATCCGTATCTTCCCATGGATTTGTACAATAAATTGTTAATAATCTTGTTAGCGTTAATATGCTCAAATTTTGGTTTCCTGAAAGAAAAAAATATAATCTTTAATGAAAAAGTTAAATAATTATATTCGTTTTCTTCTGTAGTTCTCTTTTTTCTTTTTTAGTTTAGCTTAAATTTAAACTTGAATTTTTCAATGAATTTAAATATTATCTTATTAAACAATACCGCAATTAATAAACAATTATTTACTTATTTCGAATTAAACGATAACACGGGTTAAGAAACTCAAATATTGAAAAGGAAAAGCAAACGGAATATAGAATTTGACCTCATAATTACCTTAACACATTATGATTTTGAAATNTTCTGTAGTTCTCTTTTTTCTTTTTTAGTTTAGCTTAAATTTAAACTTGAATTTTTCAATGAATTTAAATGCATCGGCTTTTTGTCTTTTTTAAAACAGTTGAAACAGATTTTATTTCCTGATAATAATTTTTGAATTACCTGTGAATTTCTTTAAGTTGTTCTGCTATTTCAAGAAGGCGTGGACTATAATTGACATTTTTCAGGTGAAAGGGATTAGTTGGCCTTGCTGGAATATTAGGCAATGATATGGGTTGAGAAAGTACATATTCAGATGGGTACATTAACGTTCTAGCGCTATTTTCATATGGGTCCTGTTTCTCGTTCTCCAGATTTTTTTCTGAAAAAGACAAAATATTAATCACTCTCGTCCATTTTGGTTAAAATTTCGTTTAAATCAATTATATTTCTCTCCACTGAAACAATGCTGAGAGAGCAGCAGCCATCCCTTGAACATTTTTCATTCATTATAATTTTACTAACTATATTTATTTTATAATGGTCGCTGCAATTTGGAAAAGATTGTTAAAGATATGTCTAGAGTACGGCGCTGTACCGGTGCGAAATGTGGACGGTGGACGTAGAGAAAAAAAAAGTTTATTAGAAGCTTTGAAATGTTTTGTCACAGGTGAATGGTGAGGATACCGTGGATTGAGAAAGTTAGAAATGAGGAGGTAATAAAATGGGTAGGAGAACAGAAGGCGCTAAGGAAGTCAATGAGAAATAAGCGAGATATGTTGGTAGGACACCTCTTAGGCATGAGAGGCTAGTAAGAGACATATTAGAAGCAGAAATAGGAGTTAACAGGAGTAGAGGTAGACCTAGATTAGCTTACTATTTACAAATATTTAAGGATGTAGGACGTTATATATAGGAAAATGGAAAGATTAGCTCAGGATATTAAAAAGGATCGAGTGGAGGTATGTGCCCAACCAGTTTTAAGGTTAACGATCTTATGACCATGATGATGATTATAATGGCCAAAGTAGTAAAAACCAATGTATCAAAAAAATACAATATTTTTGTAGCCATATCATCAAACATTGACTGTTGTAACTATCAGAGAAAATTAAGTTTGATTTTAAAACATTATTCTTGTGAATATACGGATGACTAATATTACCGTTTTATTAATGAGTTTACAGGTATTGGTTCAAAGTGTTCAGAGTGTAAATGTAATATGGAGATATAAGTACATATAATTTCACATGCGGGCCACGGAGCTATGATTTATTTCCAAAGTGACCCACAAGATCATTAGGGTTGGTCGCCACTGGTTTATACTATACACGTGTTCTACGCGAAAAAGAATAACGAGAAAGGGCGAACTAGAACTAGGGACTAATACATCAAACTATTCCCAAAACTCACAGGGATGAACCGTACTTAATCTCAAATTTCGACGATTACACAGGCTGAATGAACACAAAGTAGAACCGATTTTTTTAGTAAATTATTATCTCAGTTAAAGTAAAATATTTGTTATTGCTTTTTTCTACCTACCATCGGTCCATTGCTTCGCAGAATTTTCAGTTCTCTGGAAATCTGAAATGAAATCAAAACCAAAACGTTAGGATTCCACAGCCGGCATTATTTGTACTAGTCGTAAATTAATAAATTGTAAAATGAAAAATATAAAATAATATTCCTAACGGCATCTACATAGAGAAACTATAATTTAAAGATGAAAATTCATCAATCTACTTCAATCATAACAGAATTATAACTGAATAACTTTTATTTTGAATCGTCCTGGCACCTCCACCAAAAATTTCAATAAATTTTTTAATAATTGCTGATGTTTGGGTATCTTCATTAACGTTTTGCTTATGACATTAAAACAATAGTTTGCAAGATTAGTCATCTCCATCGACCATTAACGATTGTCAAATTTGATCTATTTAATATGCGAACATGATCGTACGAAGGCTACTCAATACATTGAATAAGGTACGTACATTTAGGAAAATTTAATCAATGGAACAACTGACGATTACAAATTTTTGAATGCACAATTAAATAATAATTAATGAAGGAACTCAAGGTTTTGAGTATTTGTACGATTTTCTTCGTGTTAAAAGGATCAAGATTTGACATTAAGCAGTACCCTTGGTAATCTCTACTTTGTAATATCCACTATAAACAAAATTAACGAAAACTTTTGTGGAATATATAGACATAGATGAGGAAAAATTCGGTTTTAGCTTCTCCTAATCCTATTTTTAACCTTTCCTGATTGTACAGTCTGATTACGGTCCATAATAGGAGTTCTTCGTTTTACTTTGGAGTTAGTTATAAACTTTAATATATTAGGTATTGAAAATTTATAGTTTGACTACGAGATAATAAAAACAACACTTAGTAATCCTTTTTAGAGTTCCGTACGTACGAATGAAAAGCGGAACTCTGATAGGATCGCCCGTGTGTCTGTCTGTTCGTCTGTCACAGTCAATTTGCTCCGAATCCGTGTGACATATCAAATGAAAGGGCTTGTTATAAGGGCCTCAAATAATTTATAATTTTGATATAAAGAATTTTAAGGTTATTTAAGAAGATAGATGAAAATTAAGTATTCTACTGAACTACTACTGAACCTAAAATTTTGAAACAAATACAGAAAATAGTTCTTCACTTGTAGATTACAGAAAAATTAATAAGAGGTCAATTTTCTGCATACAATTGCAGTTTGAATGTGTGAGAGAACATGTCTTTTTTTTTAACTATAACGTTAAGTTAGTCCTTATAGGAATACTCATGTGTCTGTCTGTCCATTTTTTGTTTAATCTTCTTATTTCACTTGTATTCACAGATTTCATTAAATAGATGCGTTTATTAAACTTTTTAGTTTTGATTTTTTGTTCTACCATCAAATCTGTTGATATAAAAAAGTTTGCATCTCTTGTTTGCCCCAAAAATAATAGCTTTTTTACATTAAAAAAGTACGAATAGGAGTTTTTAATTAAATGGACTTTTGAATGAATTATTAAAGGCTTAGCTTTCTATTGATTTCAGCTAAGCCCTTTTTTAACTTTGCAACCCCAGAGAATCTATTCATTCAAGCCTCCCAGATTAATTTACATATTCCATCATAATATATGTAGAATTATAATTTCTGATGAAGCATTTTTCGCATATATTTTTTTTCTTGTCAGAGATTATTTCAAACGAGGTCCTTTTTCTTATGAATAATTCAAAAATCAAATTTACTCCAGCTAAGAACTTTAAGCACAGTTAAAATGAAAATTTTGTTTGCTGTGTAAGGTAAATAATTAATTAATTGAAAAAATATAATCTTATTAGTTATGTCACAATGAATGAGCGTAAACAGAAAACCAAATAAATATTGATTAGAGTTGTAACCGATCTAATATTAGATTTGTATGTACATCAACCTGATGGTGCGAATTGCCGGGATTTTAATTTGACTCTCAAATGAACGGGATTTTCCCCACTAGCCAATTTTTCGTGACCGAAAAACATAAATGTAGAGTTACAGATACCGACTTCTAATTAAATGCAAATTGATTTGATGAGTCAAAAAATACTACATTTTTACCAATTTAAAACAACAAGAAAAGGAATAAAAGTCTCAGATTTTTAGATAGTTTTAATAAATTGTTTGCATGTTCTAATTATAATACTCTGCAGCGTAGATATTAGTTAGTTACTACACACATTTCTTTACTATTCTTATCAAAATTTTAATCTACATTTGACCGCAACTAAAGTGATGACGTGAGAGACTTCAAAATCAATCTTTTTGTAAAATATGTACCTACATACATGGGTATTATTGTAGAGTAACGAATATTTTTATTTTCTGGATTAAAACAAAATAGATTATGTATAAATAATATTATTAAACATTGCTGTGAATTAAATGAATTTTAAAATAATAATTTTGAAAATATTTACGAATTTTCTCATAATTCTTAATACACAAGTTTACAAACTTTAACTGCTTAAGAATAGAACATACATTTAAGAAATTTAGGTGATATTAAGCACTATTAATTGTTGTAAATATTTTTTTTCAACTTTTTAAATTCTGTTGCAACAGGAAAAGCCTTAAAACAGCATTTGCGATTGTATTTGTTGTCGAAACTTTGCCGGATATTTTTCTATATTTTTATCATAAACTTTATCATTTTAAAAAGCAACATTAATTATCCAAACTCACCGGGATACAATTCCAATTCACAAAAAACACTTCCACTACATATCAGTGAAATGACAAAGCACTGGAAAGTGCTTTTCATATTGCACAGTGCACTGTCTGTTACTCCATATGTTTTACACCTCTGCCATTTTCCCTCTGGAATCAATACATGACCGGGTACACGATTGGACACGCTATCACTGACGTCACGGGAAACTCGTCGCTTTATTTATTTTCTTTTTTCTTTCGGTCACGGGTTTCCACTTTGAATCTGAAGTGGCAATATGGGCAGCGTAACTCCCAAAAAGAAAATATAAAAAGAAACGATCGACGAACTTTGTCTCTGGACTTTATAATAAGAACACTTGAATGAAAAGGTTTATGTTTGGGTCATGCATATGAAATGAGTTCTTATCAGTTATGGATTTCCGGTGCTACACCCTGAATGTGTGGGCGATAGCACCTGCTCTAAAGGTTTGTTGCACATCCATGTACAGGGTGACTTATTTTCGGGAATATTTGGTTGTTATTAATCGATATTTTTGGGTAATTCGCGTTCAACATTTTTATTAAGTTTGATAGTTTTGGTTAGTATTTCATTCGATATTTTTAGATGTTTTATGGATTTATGTCCAGATTTTTGGGTGATTCTTGATGATATTTTTGGGTGATTTAGACTCAACATTTTAAATTTGATTCTTTAGAGTGGTTTTTGCTCAATGTGTTTGAATGTTTCACACGCTATTTTTGGATTTTTATACGTTTATCCTACATTCTTAGGTGGTCATTTATTTTGAAAATTTTGCATAAGTTTGGTTGTTTTGGGTGCCTTTAGTTTGATTTTATATTTGGATGGCTTACATTCGATAATTTTGGATTTTTGGATGGTTTATGTCCTAGATTTTTTGGTGGTTCTTGATGAGACATATTCAAGGTTTTGTTTAAAATTGATAGTTTTTTTGATGGTTCATGCACTAGTGTGTAGTGGTATTCTCGAGTATCTGCTGTAAATTTGCTATTTTTGGATGGTTTTTAGTCCACTATTTTTGGGTAGTCAATGTTGTTGTATAAGTCAAACTCAGCACTTTTAGTTACTGTTTTGGATTTCTTGGATAGTAAAAAAGAGGTAATAAGTAACTTAAAAGCTAGTAACACACAGTAAAAGTATAATTTAGGAAGCAGAAATATTTATGCGTTTATTGTTTGTACATCTGCTTTATATAACGCATAATTACATCTTCAGCGCTGTTCTCAAATTGTAACCCAAACTATTTATTATTTTCTTTTCGCAATCGTGTCAATAATTAAAAAGGAACTTTGCAACTCAATCAACCATATCTAATAATAATTTATTTGGTAACTACTGAATAAATTATGATTTATATTTTTATTGAATTTTAAATTTCTATCTACTTTATCTTTACATTATACATTATCTAAGAAAAAAACACACACACAACTAATAATTCAGTCAAAGTTGTTTTTGAAAAGATTGGGATAATTAAATAAATATATAAATGTTTAAACATGTATATTTGGTAAATAAATATATTGAACACATTTTTATGACTTTACAACAAACTTAGAATAAAATTTAATAAAAACTAAATAATCACAGTTAGCCTCACTGCTGGAACAATAAATAAATTAGTAAGCCCCTTCGGATTGATTAATATGAGATAAAAGTATTAATTAATAACAATTTTTTTTTCTAAGAACATTCCATAAAATATATGCTATAAACGGTTTTATACACTTCATACTATTAAAATGTTTACAAAAAAATTTCGAGGTGTTAACATCAATAAGGATTAAAAATACTTTTTCAAATGATATGCACTGTCGTGAATATTAAAAAACATGCTACACTACCTTTGCCTAAGCCTAGGTAAAACTAGTTCTTAAATTTCAAATCAGGTAACCTGATTTTACCTAGGCAAAACTAGTTTGTCCGAAATGTGAGTAGATGAAACAGTATGGTCTAATCCAAAGCAGTTTTTTAGAAATTTCATCAGCCAGACAACTTAAAATACTTTTGCCTAGGCCTAAGCCAAACGAATTTTTAAATTGGGTAAAACTAGTTTATATGTAGAACAGGCAGATGGACTAGTTTGTTCTAGTCCAAATAGTTTTACGTGCCAAACAAGATTTCAGTCCAAAATAATTTTCCCTAGGCCTAGGTCAACTTTATTCTTAAATTTAAAATCAGGGTAACTTGGTTTCGCATAGACAAAACTACTTAATTCAAAGTGCGAGTGGATAAAACAGTTTGACCTAATCCAACACGGTTTTTCTGAAATTTTACTAGCCAAACAGAATTTCAGCCTAAAATACTTTTGCCTAGGCCTAGGTCGAACAAATTATTAAATTCCAAATCAGGGTATGGCGTTTTAGCTTAGGCAAAACTAGTTTATCCGTAGAGCGAGTGGATGAACCAGTTTGGTCGAATTTAAAACATTTTTCTTGAAATTTCAGCAGCCATACAACTTACAATACTTTTGCCTGGACCTAAGCCAAATGCATTTTTAAATTTCAAATCAAGGTAACCTGCTTTGGCCTAGGAAAAACTATTTTCTCCGTAGAGAGGGTGGACGAACCAATTTGTCCTAGCCCAAAAGGTTTTTCCCGAAATGTTACCAGCCGAACAGGATCTTATCCTAAAATACTTTTGTCTAGGCCTAAGTCAACCTAGTTTTTTCTTAAATCCTGTTGGGCGTTTAACATAAGTAAAATAAAATAGAATTAATGGAATAACTTTAAATTCAATTTAATAAAAATGCAGTCTAACATTTTCTCTATTAGTATTACATTGTAATTACAACAATTATTGTGAAGCACACATAATCTAAAGTACTCATTATTGCATTTTATTTTATAATTTGCACCGGTTTTAACATTTTCAAAATCTACTATCTAGTAAATGGGGGTAGAAAATATTAGTTACGCTTTTCTAAAAATAAATTACTCTTATTTCTGCCAGCATATTTACTCCAATTAGAAAAATATTCTTATGCATATTGTACAAACGTTTAAATATGTACTTGTTTTCATAAAAGTTACCAAAATAAAAATATTTACTTGATTATATTATATATCTCATAAATAAAAAAGAAAAAGAAAATTAAATGTTGGATCGAAGGAATGCTTTCATATAAACAGCGAAATCATTATTTATTAAGGTGGTAGTAGAAAATTAAATTAAACTAATCATATTCTGTTGAAGTGATTTTTGATTGAGATAAACGTTATCATCATGGATAACAATAGAATCAGACTCTCATACCGAATTGATTTTTTCAGGAAGTCATGAAGAATATTTTTGTCACAAAAAAAATAAAAATGCATCATACCTTTTCCTTTCTTCCTCTCTTCATTTACTGAAAAAATCGAGACAATTAAACCAATAAATCGCTATCATTTTATTAGTAATCAATTTATATTGGCTCTTATTTAATTCTTTAACTGAAGGTCATTTTAATTTTCCATGTCGTCAGTAGATTCTCCTTCAAATGTCATTCGAGGCTCGTCTTTCTTTCTATTACTTGATCCTCGTTTCCGTTGCCTATTAACTACCCCGTCGTCTTCATCCATCATCCTGATAATTAACATTTGATCGGAATGGTCCAAGGGTGCCACTGATATATCTCTTACAGCCCTGAACTTTCCACAATTATTCAAATGCTCGTTCTCCAATCGAAAGAAATTCCAAACGAACCTCCTACGGGAACAATTCTGTTTTCTCTAATTTATACAGTAGAACGTCTAATTATCTCGCAAACTAATTAAACTTCAATTTACTGAGATTATTAACAATCTGCACAAGCAATTGTAGCGAATAAAGGAACCGTGTAATAGAATGCAATCTTCATTTAAAAAAACGAATGTTTTATTGAAGTACTCATTGTAATGGATAGATATATTTCTTGAAACTATAATATTTTAATTATTTATCAGAAAGTACCATTTTTCTTTTACTAGAAAAATCTAAAAATGTAATATAAAAATGTAGGGATGAGTTACAAAGATAGAAGAGTGATACTTAGTTTGTATAACGAGCAACAGGCAGTTATAGAGCTGGGGATGCAACGTAGAGAAGTAAATATTAGGAAGGGAGTCAGACAGGGATGCACACTGTCACCGCTACTTTTTAATCTATACATCGAAGACGCCATCAACATCATTAAAGACAGTACAACTGTAGGGATAGATGTGCAAGGGCAAAAGATTAGTATGCTTAGATTTGCAGATGATATAGCAGTATTAGCATCTAGCAAGGAGGACCTAGAGATAGCTTTAAATAAAATGGAAGCGGTACTGACAGATCAGTACTGTATGAAAATAAATAAAAGTAAAACTAAAATACTGGTATGCAAGGGAAGAAAAAGTAGGGAAAGAGCGAATATAAAGATAGGAGACGAAAAATTAGAAGAAGTGGCTGATTTTAGATACCTAGGAAGTCAGATAAGTCAGGATGGAAGGAGTAGTAGGGATATAAAGCAGAGGATAGCGCAGGGTCGTGTCGCCTTTAATAAAAAGAAGTCACTTCTATGCTCGCGAACGGTTAATTTAGAAATTCGAAAAAGGTTGTTAAAGGTGTATGTTTGGAGCACGGCGTTGTACGGGTGCGAAACATGGACAGTGGGAGCGGCGGAAAAGAAAAGGTTAGAAGCGTTCGAAATGTGGTGTTATAGGCGGATGATGAGGATATCGTGGGTAGAAAAGGTTAGAAATGAAGAGGTATTGGAAAGAATAGGAGAACAGAGGACTCTATGGAAGTCAATAAAAAATAGGCGAGATAGGTTGGTAGGACACCTTCTCAGGCATGAAGGTCTAGTCAGAGACATATTAGAGGCAGAAACAGGAGTTAGGAGGGGTAGAGGTAGACCTAGATTAGATTACTGTTCGCAAATAGTTAAGGATGTGGGCTGTTCTAGTTTTAGGGAAATGCGAAGTTTAGCTCAGGATAGGAAAAAGTGGAGGTACGTGTCCAACCAGTCTTAGGACTGACGACCTTATGATGATGATGATGAGAAAAATCTTAACAAAAAAGAGTAACTCCATCATTTGTGAGTCGAATTCCACTAAAGTTTAAACGATCGTAGTCAATATTTTTAGAAAAAAGAACATATGAAGCAGACTTTTTTTGCTAATTGAAGTGCTAATTAATTTTATTCATATAACCACTGTGAAATCAAAGCCAAATGGGGTTAATAGGCAGCGTTTCGCCCTAACTTTAAGAAACTAAACAGGCTGAAACGTTGGCGGTTGCTTTTCAGACTTTGTTTTGACTTTGGCTTTGGCTTTGATTTCACACATTCTTCATGACAGCTGACTTTATGAAGATTATATAACTCCCTAAAGTTTGGTGTTTACCCTTACCTAAAAACCTCCAGTGGTGCTAAAATATTTACCATCACATCGGCATGTACGTAGCCAATTTCAGTCAAAGACATTGATAAGACCCATCCGAATCTTAAGATGACATCTTCAATAATCGCGAAATAATAAAACCACTACAAAATGAGAAGGTGTTTCAAAAAATAAATTAATATGTATCCTTACAATTTCTCCAGATAAATTGAAACCGAATTTATAAAATTATTTTTGTTTCCTTAAAAAATACCTACGGTAGAAGAATAAACTATTTCTTCCCGAAGAAATTTATTGTCTCCTGCTTTGGGATCGAACAATCCCCAGTCCATTTTTATATCCCAAACGTACGCATAACAAGAACTAAACAAAGACGCTGTTATCCAAAGATAGAAAAAAACATTTTCGTTTGGAACATTACGATCTAAAAATAGTGAATATTACGTTCAATTAACCCTGACGCCATTTAGTAAGAACTCACCCGCATGAACGCTATACAACGCACTAAATATTACCACGAAAAATGACGACGCATATTTGATTGCGTTTGCTAAATGGGGAAACATTTCTTTAGTGTCCCTAAATCTCCTCAAGCATTGCGCAAACCGGCACCAAGCAGGCAAACAGGTCATTACCGATCGTATTGTAATGTGCTTTTCAATGCAATAATTGGCGTCTAAAATTTGTCGTAAAAAAAAGATAAAAAATCAGAGACAATAGTTCTGGTTCCGTTTACAATTTCCGCTACATGCTAAAATTTTACTTTCAATGTGCTAAAAGAAGTGTAACTTCAAAAAGCAATACTTAAAAAATACTGTAGATCATTACAAATTGAAAATAAACCCAAAATTTTTTCTCAACCGGGCATGTAGTCAAAAAAGGGATAGAAAGGGTCCAACTTCTTTCAAAATTAAGAAAAAAATGGTGCATACTCTCTTAGAAATTTATCATACTTTCTAAAATTGGGCGTACCTATTCTGATTAACCTTAACGTTTTATTATAAACCCATTAAAGATGTGCAAAATGTTTTTTTAAGTATTTAAATAGAAAATGCACTACTTTTTTGATTTGTTATTTCAAATGCAAAATACAAAATAGATTTCCCTTTTGTATTTTAAATGCTAAATGCAAAATACGTATTTTGAAACTACTTTTTTCAAATAAATCATTTTTTGTAGTACCTATTTAATTTTCTACATCTGCATAAGTAAGGATGTGAGTTCTTCTAGTTTTAGGGAAATGCGAAGTTTAGCTCAGGATAGGAAAGAGTGGAGGTACGTGTCCATCCAGACTTAGGACTGACGACCTTATGATGGTGACTTAAGTATAAAATATTTTTAAGAAAACCTTGTAGGCATTTACTAATTTTGCAAATATTGGAGTTTTTCTAGACTAATGGTGGTGTTTGCACTATATCACCAGTTGCGAAGATTAAGTATGATTCATATTTTTCTGTTTGAAGTGATTGAGATACAGTTTTTCTATCTTTATGTTATAGTTTCTTCAGTTCAGCCACAAATAATTCTTATATATGTTTCCTTATTAGCCTTTGTCACCCGTTTTAATTGGAAAAAAGACACTAATGCCAAAATAGTTTGTTTAGCGTGAAAGATCAAAGACAAAATAGAGTTGCAAATAATTTTATTAATGTAAAATTAACATCAATCATTTTATATCAAAATATTTACAACCCCATTTTGTTTCCGATCTTTTACATATTGTAGTAAGTGATATAAAAATGGAATCCATAGTTTCTTTAGCTTTGGGTTCATCTAATAAGTGAAGTTTTTCGGATCGTTTTCTAAGAATTATGAATTATACGCATTTATTAGCACACCACAATATCTTGTAGTTTTTAGTTTTACACAGTTGGCATATATCAATTCGATATTGTTTTGGGGGTGTTTTTTCGTAATTCATAGAATTTCGTAGTTCCTTGTTAAAGGTACGACAAGTAGTGATTTTCAGGTGCTGATATCAGTTTGGAACTTCGAAATTCCACGGAGCATGAAACCGGAAAACAATATTCATCCAATATTTTAGATTATCCATTTCCAAGGGGTTTACAATTTCTTGGGCCCTCTTCAGGTAAAAAATTAGAAGGGATTCATGGAATGTCTGTTCATCCCCTTTTTAAGCTTTTTATATCTTCAATGGTCAATGTGAGCAACTTTCATTCATCATTTTATATTATGTTTTAATGTTTGATCGATGATACTAGTAAAAGTTTTAACGGCAAAAATGTATTTTGCATTTTACAAATAGAAAGTTCGTTTGGAAAAGTATTTTAAATGAAATACAAAATGCTCTTCTCAAAAAAAGTATTGAAATGCAATATAAAAATAGGTATTTTATATTTTGTATTTCCATTTTAAATGCAAGTATTTCAAATAAATCACATCTCTGCAATCCATTACTATAATTTTGCTTGACGATGTTAATATATTATTAAAAAACAATAATGAAATCGCTGTATTGTATGAACTCCTCCCCTAAATAGAATTTTTGACTACATACCTCGACCTACGTCAAAAAGTTCAGAAAAGTAACAACACGCGTGTGTCTTGCGTTTAATGCGGGAATTTTTCAAAAAGTTTTGGTGAAAGGGTTATCATAACCAAAATTTGCGCTTTATTAAGAAACTTACTTGAACCAACGTATAAACTTTTATTGGACATATAAAAGCAAACCAAATATTGAATGTCCGTAAAAACCACTACTAAACTGTTCAGTTGGTCAGCCATCCAGAAATCAGCAAACGTAACATAGAAAAGCGGCGCCAAAAATATGCGACCCTTCAAAATATCATTAAATAATACAAAAATCCCCGATCCTTATCGTTTGTAAGGTAAAACTGGCACTCACCAACACCCTTAAACTCCAAAATCTGGCCTCGTGCCTAAACGTTTTCGTAGGATTAACTAAGAACAGAACCATCAGTCCAATCATTATCAGAGGGTTGACGTATGGAGGTATACTAAGCTCGGAACTATAGAGAAATAGCAATACCGAAATTGACCAAACAACCCCAAAAGCTGCTGCCATTTCTATAACGTGCTGTTCGGATAAATGATTCCGGGGGTCCAATTCGAAGATTAGGACGTGGTTAACCCCAGACGATCGCCAGCCGTAAATATTAACACCCCATAAGAAGAGAAATTCTATTATTAAAAATGGACCCCGATATAATCTACATACGATTCGCCAGTCGTCTCTTCCATGGTGGAATATGGCTGCAAGAAACTAACGGTACAATGTTTCTTGTTGTTGAACAGTAAGAATTATATGCAGAATTTTAAATAAATTTTTGACGCGATTGGCAAAGAACAAAAAAGTTTTACATAAGGAAACTAATTCTTTTAGAATATATAAATGTATATGTGAGGTTTTGTTTCTTATGACTCAATTATTACTATCGAATATTCACAATGATTATTTCGCCATATTGTGGCTTTGTCCACCAAATTATATACTGTAAATTTTGTATTATACAGGATGTCCCAAGAAACAGTGTTAGGTTTAGTGTTGGGGTTATCTGAGACATTTCTACTATATTTCAGAGTAATGACGTTTTCTTCTATACTTCGTTGTTTCTGTAGCGATGTGACCTTCAATTTGGCCGGCACAAAGTAGAAAAGAACAGCACTAGGCCAGAAAAGGAAAGAGACAACTCTCGGTCAAACTCTCAACCGGCGAGGAGCGTATAATCCGTACAGTATTGCACGAAAAAAATGGCCATTTTATCCACTACAATTGCCTTGCTCAAATGTGCTGTTATTGGTACCGATTACTACTGAAAATATCAACGAGATGTTTATTTATATTTGAAGACATATTAAAGGCTTTAACGCTTGTTTTCGACTCGCACAACTATTCATGATTGAACAAAACTTTTGGCAAGTACTGTATGAAAAAGTATGTTTAATGAGCAAGAGTCGAGAGTATAATGAGCTTTTTTCTCCCTACCTACGATTTTGCCAGCGCGCATCCAAGTCATTGGAAGGGGCACATCGCTAGAGAAAGTAAATGAAGTATACTTTATTTCGTCTTAACTATTCCCGGTTTGAACAGGATTTCTTTAGTTTGACATGAATAAATACAATAGAAACTTCAGCCTTTTCTAAAATTGTTTGATTGACGAATGTCACGTGCCACAACGCTTATTTTCATAAATCTGGTAAAAGTATAAGGCACAAAAATAAACTTAAAAATAAAAAAAGAAAATACCGAAATAGTTTTCAAATAGTCGTTTTAACCACGTCTTTAATTTCGACGTAACCACTCAATTTTCAGGAATAAAATAGCTACTAAATCAAAGTCGTTCCAATTCTGTGTTTGTACTGGAGGTTTAGCAGTTTGGAAAGACCTATTTTTGTAAGATTGACTCGGGTGCTTGTATAACAGTAAATATATATATTTGGTTGTTTTCTTATTAAATAGGACACTGCACTCCATTAATCACGCGTTAATTTAGGTCTGTCCAAACTACGAGTAAAATAATTAATTTAGCAATTAAGTAGAAAATGAATCTTCAAAATAACTGTGCTAATACATATTAACAGTGGTAAAAGTTTAAAAAAAGAAGCGCACATCAAAATTCGTAAAAATAGTGAAATCATAAGGAGACATCGACAAACGAATGATGCTTTAATAAACAAACTATAACTCGAAATGAAAACAATAAATGATTTATGGTTCTGTCAGAGCTATTTATATAATCTCAAAAAAAAATATTGACCAGCATAGATAAGTTAGATTATATTTTTAGAAAGTCTATACGAGAATTGCATTCGTTTAAAGACGTTGCTAGCAGGAGCGCAACAACGTTACAGTTTGACTGGGTGCTCCCATAATAATACTATAAATGACTAAAAAAAAAAGCTCACCGATGTATTGAATTAAAATACTTGAAAATATCGAGTTCGGCTGCTCATTTACGAACTTGAACCAAACTTTCAAGTTGAATTATTATCTGATTCGACTGGAATTGACTGGGTGCCCAACCCAATCAAGTGGGTGCCCGGGCACCCGTGGACCCCCCCTTGTTGCGCCCCTGGTGGCTAGACAATCGTACAATTTTCAAATAGATAACAGTAAGATTTTAATAAAAATTTGAACGCAATCTGTCCAACACCATTTGCTGAGACACCCTGTACCTACATAATATTCAGCTTCTCCGCAATGTGTAAAATTTTCGGTACTTACCCGACAAAACAACAGCTGCCACTAACATTGTAAATGATCCTGAAAATAATCCTACTTTAAAAGTTGTCCAGGGACTCTGTTGTTCGCCTAAGGGGGGTACTCTAAGTCGTTTCATAGCTCTTTGCCTATCACCTGCTTCTAAATCTTGCGTGAAAGTATTTTCAGTTTCTCGTATTAATCTGTCGATATCTTTATTTGTGTAAAAATGTGAATTTTCGACATGCTCTATTCTCCATCTAGCTCCAACATCACACGAAAGGAGCTTTTCAAAAAGATCTTTTAATTGTAAATCAACAGAAAACGAAAATAATAATATTTACCTTATCATGCTTTTTTAAAATTTTCCTAAATCCTGTGAAATTCAGATTTTGGTAGTTTTGTAATAATATTAAACTTAAATAAAATTCGCTAAATGCTAACTTCAGTTCCTGCATTTTTCTTGCAGGTACATTTTTTTTTGTTAAAATATTTTTTCCGTGCCTAAAAAATCCTCCCTTAACACTGTCGTCATTTCCCTGAGCTTCGCTCAGTTCATTTTTCAAATTTGCGTACTTCCTCGTAGCTTCAGCAAATTTTTCTAAAATACGTATTTATGTAACAAGCTGGTGCATCCAATTTGTCTTTGCCACTAAATATACCTGAATAGAATGTATTTATTTTGGTAAGCTCCTTATCACAATAATGAAAAAACTGCTCATCAAATTTCGCAAAATATCTTGAAAGGATTTCCGGTTCAACTTCTTCTGCGGAAGGGGCTTGTTCTACAGCAGCATATAATAGCGCTTTCATTTCCTAAAATATATTGTTTTAATTAATTACTATATTGTATTAAGTAAATAAATTTAGAAAAAGTTTACCTCATAGTTAATGTATTGTTTTCTCCATTCGGGTGTTATATGAGCAGATAAATGCTCAGTAAATTTCATTTTTTGCTCGATTGTACCTTCACAAACAAACCAAATCAATTTTTTAATTTAACGTCAAGTGCAAAGACGTAAACGTCAAAACTGACGCTGGACGTCGCGACGCTAAACTTTATTTGCGGTCAAAACTCTAAACTGCCATCTATTATTGCACTCGTAAAATACCTTTATCACGGTAGTTATCGGTTGTTCTTAGGTTATTTACTAATTTATGATTATGTATGCATATACATAATTGTAAATTACAAAACTTTATTTGAAAAAGAATAGAAACTTATGTTTAAGAGATTGTTTTGTATTTGATTAACATTAAGATACTTAATTTATTATAACCTCAAAATGATTTCATGATGAACATACAAAGGAGCTTAATAACAATAAAAAAAGTCTTACGAAAGGTAAGTTTATTTGCAGTTTTACTTGTTTAACTATTATTTTCTGTAATATATTGTAGTATTCCACTCAAATTAAGGAAAAGCCTGTAGTAATATTAGATGAATCTGTAAGACAAGAACTTGAAGCAGAGGCTTACAAACCTAGGTACCATCCAGGAGTTATAAAAGCCAAGAATATTCGATTACCAGACTCGTTTATAGAAGCTGCAGTTAACACTGTAGAAGGTAAATTCTACTTTTTTTAAGTGCACCATTTGACCATTTAATTTTGATTAGACCATTCCATAAAGAAGCTGATAGAGGATAGTAAAAAATTAGTACACCACTTACAATTCAGACTGCCTCCTGTAGAACGCGATGAACTCAGGAATAAGACAGAGCACTTTCAAAGGAGAGTGCTTCGCCAATCTAAACAGCCTGAAATAGTTTCTGAAGAAGATTTGAAAAAGTATAAGCAAAGTCTTACTGATAAAGTTATTTTTTTACTCAAAAAAGCAGTCTATCATTGGACTCCTACAGACTACAATGAATATAATGCCCTTCTCTATTTATTTGGAAGGGCTGCTCCAGAATATGCAGTATTGGTCAAAATATTTTCAGAAATTAAGACTCGAGATCCATCCTTTAAACCTAGAAGTTTTTTTGATTTTGGATCAGGAATTGGTACAGGCACTTGGTAATATCAGAGTGTAAGTTATTGATTTATTTAATGGTTATTGTTTCTATTAAAGGGCAGTAAATCATTTTTATAAGGGAAGTATTTTTGAATATTTTAATGTGGATTCATCAGTCCATATGAATGATTTAGCTCAAATTTTATTGCAAGGTGGCAGAGGAACTAAACATTTACAACTTAAGGGAGTCTTTTACAGACAATTTTTACCAGCTGCTTCAGTAAGATTTTATGTAGCATTTGCTTGCTTTATTATTTAAATTAATTTATATTAGGTCTCATATGATTTGGTTTTATCAGCATATACGTTATTGGAGTTGCCATCCTTGGAAGCTCGATTAGAAACGTTGCAAAATCTGTGGAGAAAAACAGCATGTTATTTAGTTTTAGTTGAATATGGAACCAATGCCGGCTTTAAGGTTGCTTTTTTAGTTTAAATTTATCTTTTTTTATTAATTTCTTTATTTTATGAATAGATGATTAATGAAGCTCGCGATTTTATTTTACAAATGGAAGGTGAAAACAAGGGTCATGTTTTTAGCCCTGTAAGTTGTATAAAAACTATTCTAAATTATTTTGTAATTAATATATCATTGTTTCAGTGTCCCCATGACAAAGTTTGCCCCAGATTTGTACATGATAATACACCCTGTAATTTTTGGGTTTCTTATCAGCCTTTACCTTTTACCAGACCAATAGAACAGAAAACAGAAACTTATTGTTTTGTGATATTAAAGAAAGGTTTATAATTAAGTGTAGTATCACAATATTTACCTAAATAATTAATGATTTTTAGGAAAGCGCAGCAGCGAAGCACCAAGCTGGCCTCGTGTGGTCAGAGAAGTCTTAGTGAGGTCAAAACACTCAATTTGTAGGCTGTGTACCAAAGAAGGGAATTTACAGGAAATAATTTTTACAGCAAACAAACATGGAAAGTAAGTTACAATAGTTCATGTTTTATATTTCCAACAACTGATAATTTCTTATTATAGAACCACATATCATTGTGCAAGATCTAGTAAATGGGGTGATCTGTTACCAATTTCAATACAAAACCCTGAAAATAAGGATTAGTTCTTAAGATTTTTAAAAAAGAGAAGCTTCAGACATGTGCCTATTTTTTTTTTATATAATGTTAAATATACGTTTTTCTCTTTTTGGATTGTATCAATAAAAACCACAAGAAATGTACAATCCTTTAATAAGAAGGAGAAGTTTACATAAAAAATTACTGTTGCATTTGTATAAATATAAAAAAATATGGAAACCCACAACATAACGCATCTTCTTCAAATGAATGTGTCAAAAACTTATTAGGTACATGTTAGTTGAAACAGTCGACGTATTCATCCCGTAATATTTTCTTTGTTATTATGACGTTTAGTACGACTATTCAGATTGAACTGAGGACTATGGGGTTCTGTGAGGCTCTTTGTTGGAGCAGGTTCGATCGGTTTGTAACGCCTTATTGGCTGCGCTTTATATTCCATCACTCTTCGAAGATTAGCGACTTCTTCTTCCTCATGTCGAATTTTTTCTTGTTCCATCTGGAAACAGACTAGAAAATATTGCGATTGTAAAAAAAATCTTTTTATTATAACTTTGCCCTTTCTTTTCTGTCCTGTTAGTGAAATGAAAAACTTTTGCAGTGCTACATTATGTAATAAAATTAATCTATTACTGAATTTTTCATATTTTATAAAAAGTTTTTGGAATGAAACTAATGTCGTTATTATACCCTCTGTCTTTGTGCTTTTATCAGTTCATCCCTATACTTCATCTTTTCCTCAAACATTTGTCTTTCTTTAGCCCTTCGATCGGTGTTCAGTTCAAAACTAGGGATTTCTCTCAAATGTTTCATAGGTTTTTGAGGTTCAAACGGTTTCATTTGGAGTACTTTGGCAGGTCGAGCTTTGAACTGAGGAGCCGGTTGTTCCAACTTCTGAGACGATTTTTCAGCCTTAAAAAAATATTGAAATTATTACAAATAAAATAAAATGCGAACTACTTACATTTACTAAATACTGTTTAGGTGCCAACGCTTCTGACATACGAACTTTCTTTTCATAAATAAACTTGGGCACTGGTTTTGCGTGAAATTCTCTCATTTTCCTTTCTTCTTCCATGATCTGTTAATTCAATGCATTAGGAACATTTGTTTATGGTAAAATTATATTTTCTTATCTATTTTTCACAAAAAAGTAGTTAACCTTTTGAAGAGCCTCGTCTTTCTTTTTTTGTATTAGTCTGTCTCTTTCTTCAAAACTAAAAGGCCTCACTTCAGTACACTTTTTCGCATTTTTATCGGAGCATTCTTCATTTGATTCGACATTAAATTTATTTTCACCTTCCACATGCATGTTTTTGAACGGTTCGTTACCCATTTCTTTCTTTTCTTTCTCAGCTTTCTGAAATTTCCCGAATATGAATATTAAGAATAGTTCCCTTTTTCTGGTATTCATACAGCCTATTATTTCTTTTTATAAAATACCTCGCTTTACTTTTTGCAGTTGAATTTATTAGATAATCAATTTAAATTAATCGTGCGATTATTTTATAAATTACTAATGTGGAAATGTTCATATATTGTACCTCTTGCATTAGAGCGTTATACCGTTTTAGGAGAGCTGGAGTCCTGGGCTGAGTTGTGCTACTTTTTTTTATAACTGGGTTTTCAATAGCATTAAACAAACCTTTGGGTACCGGATTTGCATGGAATTTAAACTCCTCTAGGTCAGTTTTTGGAGGCTATATTACAATTAAGTTGATGCTAACATAAAATAGTAACTACCAATTAATCAGATCTATACATACCTCCTTTTTGTTAGATTCGGTTAAGTGAAAGGGTTGAGGGACAGTAGAAGGTTTAATTTCAACAGGTACTTTTGCAGCAGGGCTTCTAAGTATCTTTCGATTAACAGGATGAGAAACAATTTTATTCCTTTACGTGAAATTAAAACGAAAATGTTAACTCAAAATTAAAAAATTAAATCGACAAATAAGGGTTTATATTACTTTTGAGCTTCTTTAAACTCCATTAGTTCCCGTTGCTCCCTGGAGGGAAGAGTAGAAGATCGAATTCTATTTCTGGTATATAAAGCTGGTGACTTAGGAACAGTTGGCGGTTTTGGGATATTGTGATCAACGGTGATCGAAGCACTGTGCGGTTTACTATATAGTTTAGAACGATAACGTGTAGGAGTTTCTCTTTGAAATCTTTGTACAGCTTCAGCCATACTAACAAAACGAGAATTGTGCGAGTTATACTTCGGCTGGGCTAATTTATTAATCCATTCCTTGAGGAAACAAGTTATTACCTTTCCATAGTAAATAAATAAATAAATACATTTCATTGAAAATATACCTACTTGAGATACACAGGATTGTGTTACTCTATGAAGTGGCCTGTCTTCTTTAAAAAGAGATGTAGAACTTAGACAATTTTGAATCTTTTTCTTTCCTTTTAAATTATTTAATTGACAACTGCAAATAATAATTTTAAAATGAAATATTAACTTATATTTCTAATTCCATTTTTAGAGCAACAAAAGATTGAAAAAAATTAAAAAATGATATAAAAAAAGGCACTAAAAACGAACTGTAAAATTGTGTAAATAGAAATGTATTTTTCTTAGAATTTTAATCAATTGTGTTGAATGAAAATCATGAAAGAACAGAATTGAGTGTAATACTGAATTATAAATTCTAATATTACAAAGTAAATGTTATTTTTATAAAACAACTTACTTTTACTAGTAATTTTGAGGGTTGTCATTCCTGACACTACTTCAAAGCCAACTTTTCAAACATTTACTTTATGTTATTTTAAAATATAAAAAATAGTTATACCAACAACTAAATTATTACATTACTTTTTAAAATCATAAAGAGACAACTTACTTATTGGTGTTTGAATCATGTACTTCTTCCCCTAATTTCGTGGATTGCCATGCTGTTAAAATATTGCCAGTACTAAAGGATTTTCTTAATTTATTACGTGAGTTAGTGTCTTCAACTGCCACATCTTCAACTAATTAAAGAAATGATAGATTAGTGTCATACGTTTAGTGTTATGGAATAACCAATTTGAACAAAATGCACCATAAAGAATGATTCTTACCTAGTACAGAACAGAATTCTTCAATATCATCATCACTGCTGATTAGGACGAATTCGTCAATGTGATTCTGTTTGGATTCATGATCTACTTCTACAATATAAAGTAAACTATAATAGCTCAAAATATTTTTAACTATGTTTAGGGCATTTCTAATTACAGCAAAGCGAAAAGTGGATTTTAGTAATATCAAAACAGAATTTAATACAATCAAAAATGTTTTTCAGAAATAGTTTCATTGGAGGTTACTTATTGTTAATTATAACTAAAACAATTACCAAAGTATTGTTCTAAATCTCTAACATCTTCTTCGGTAAATGAAGCAAAGTCGTAGTATTGCGGAGCACTAAAAGCAAAATTAGTTTCACTCATTTTTATTCGTTTATTTATTCACACATCACTAACAACTTTTCTAAAAATTGACGGTTATTATTTGATAAAAAGCCACTTAAATTTAAATTTCCTTCGGAACCACCGAATATTTTCGAAGATGCACGATATTATGTAGTGTCTACGCTTACGAAAGTATCAATCTCTATCAAGCCGTAATCCAATAACTATTTATATTATTTTGAAATTATATATTAAAACACCGCAAAACTACCTTTAAAGTAGAATTTTATTTTTAATTTTATATTGTATTCGTTTGGAAATAAATAGACTTTCTTTAGTGAGGTACATATNCTAAATGTTTTGTTCCTCATTATGAGAAAATTGAGTGATTTATCGTATAGAATGTTTTGAATATCTAAATTGATGTATAATGTTGCTATCTAAGTAAAAGTTATTCTATTAATCAATTTATTTTTTTTATATTATGATTCCTTTCTTAAGTATCCCATTTTTCCCCGGTCTCCCCATATTTGGTATGAGAAAAGTAATTTTAAAGAATTTGAATCCCTGATATGGAATTAGTTTTGATTTGATGGCATGTAGCATATTAAAAAACAGGAATTTTATGTTTCATTATGAAGCGTGCCTGTTCATTGACGGTTTTTGTTTAATGAACTGTTCAATATAAACGATCGATATTGAAAATAGAAAGTGAACCACTTCCTCAAGATTTAGTCAACGTGTTTTATCTCATGTTAACGTTTTGTGGTTTGTTGGGTCGATCAGAAGAATAGGCAATGTAAAAAGTCGAAAAAGGATCTAATGACATTGAACTTAAGTAAAAGTACTGATAGATAAGGAAAGCGCTTTATAAGTTTGATTTCACAACTAAAAGACATTTGCATCTAAACAAATAGATAAAGAAAAGCAAAAAAGAAATAATGATACATGTAGGATTTAATTCTTAAATAAATTTCCTTCAACGTTCTGCCCATTTAATTAACATTCATCACGTGGAATTAAGCATTAAACAAAACTGCCGAAAGTCTGCACACTTTGTTTAATAGTATAAGAAAGTAAAATTTAAACTTGACCAAAATATTTAATAGCATTTTATTATCGCCAATGTCCTGATTGTAGTTTGTTGGTATACATTCCGTGAAAATTTTCGAATTTCACCGTCTTTAAGAAGAATACTAATCTAATATATATATAATGCGTACACACATGCCAAAAGTGTTCATTACTCTTTTTAACGTTGTCCAAAAAACGTGCATTTTTTTTAAAAGCTCATGCCTTAATTAATTGTGCGTAATATGAAAATCTACGTAAGTGATCGGTGTTATAGATATCTAAAGGGTGTGATTCTGTTATTGTTTAGAACTTTTTTGTTTCAGATAAAAGTTTTATTAGCGTTAATTGTGATTATCAATCTTGTTTTGTGCAAAATAAGTAAGAAAAGGTAATAAAAAACATTTGAAAAATGTACCTACAATAGGATACACTTATATTACATCTTGTTTGTAGTCTTGTTGAGGAACAAGTAACTGATTACCCTCAAGGAAGATGGGAGACAAAAACAGAGTGGAAAGTGAAACTGCTGAAAGAATGGGTTATAAAAAAGGTAGGTATTGTGCAATATGTATTTTCGTATTATTATTTTATTTTTAATTTCTAAAAGATGTATGTACCGTACTGGAAAAAAGTCTGGACTCCCGTAGAAGTTCGCGAATGGATACCATACCCCAGTCCACCCCCTGGGTGGTCAAAATAGAACACAATTCAAAACTTATTGAGGAATTAGCGTTGTATAATATAACTATGTTTTCAGCTTTAACAATTTTAATGAAATCCCAACAAAGCTAATTAGTAAAATAATAAATTAATATTTATTTAT